TATGCTTTTAAGACTTTTAATGCTAGGGAAATACCAGAAATTTCGCCAGGTCTCTCTTATTTAATCAATTACATTTACTTTATAGCTATCATTCAAGCACTTTGTCCCATGAAGCTATGGCTCCTATTATACAGGGTCCAGCAGAAGTAACACCTGCTTGAGTGTGGTTTCTAGAGCAATGACATGGGTGTAAAAATGTATAGTTTTAATTTGAACATTTCACCTCAAATGTCACATGGTGTGCTTGAGGATGATACCGTTATGTTACAGAATTACATGCTTATGAATTTGTAATAAATGATTTTGTAATAAAAAAGGGGCATTATTTGTGCTGGACCTTTTATTTTTATTGACTATTTCACCCACCTCTTAGAAAGGAGAATAAATAAAAGTATTCCCAAGCAGTGGATGAAAAAAACTAAGGTGTGGAAGAGTTTGCCCGGTGTACAATAAGCACACAAGGCAAAAACCCTGGCTGCCTAGTGCTTTCGTGGCAAGGGGGCAGGTACCCCTGGCTGCCTTGACAAAACACCTGCGCAGGCCAGTCATGCGCACTTAGCCACGGCCGCCACCTTCAGTTCTAATACATACAATGAGACCTAACTTCAGTACCCGTTTTAAAAAAAAAATGTGGTCTAAGGAGAAATGTGACTAAATAACTACTGAACTCCTTCCCTAAGTATACACAGAGATAAGGATATGCAAATGTGCTTTGTTCAAAGACAAATGTGGTATAGTTGGAGTAATACAGCAGAGCATGTTCTGTCTCCTATAGTTTTACACCACTGAGGAAATGTTGTATACTTGTGAAATTTAATAATTTAAATAATTTCTTTGCCCCTCCTACTTAAGCTATTCAAAAACAGAAAACAAACTCAGAGAAAACTTCATATACAAACCAAACAGAAGGAATCAATATGAAACTTTAAAACCGTTTCCTTAACATCAAGCAACACGCCACATAGTGCCTACGAGGGTGCCACACTGCTCTTCGTGTCACGGACCATGCATAGTAGAAAAGTACTACTTGGTATGGCAGGAAAACGAGGCCAATTTCGAAAGCTGTGAATTCTACCCTGGCTGGTGTGGCTCAGTGGACTGAACGTTGGCCTGTGAAACCAAAAGATCTCGGGTTCGATCCCCAGGGAGAGCACGTGCCTGCATTGTGGGCCAGGTCCCTGGCTGCGGGGGTCTGGCAACCAATCAATGTATCTCTCACATAATGATGTTTCTCTCCCTCTCTTTCTCTCTAAGAAGTAAAATAAATAAAGTCTTTAAAAAAGAAAAGAAAGAAAGCCATGAATTTCACAAAACTATAGTAGATCTACCTACTCATAACAGAATCGTAAAAACCAACTGTGTTTCCCAGTGATTACCTCTAGGGAGTGAGAACAGAGATAGGACTAGGGCTTTTTTTCCCTTACCTTTTCCATTTTCCTGTACTGCTAAAATTTCTAATCATGAACATGTATTAATCTTTTTATTTAAAAAAAAAGCTGGTAAAAATGGCAATGACTAGAATAATCTAATTATTTTAAAGCTAACTATACGTATACTCTTCAACCATAAAAAGTTTTTTTAAATTACTATGGGTCCTCAGGAAATTTAGATGTTAAATAAAAGCAGAGTTCAGCCCTGGCCAGGAGGCTCAACTGGTGGGAGCACTGCCCCCCACGCCAAAAGGCGGAGGGTTCCATTTCCAATCAGGGCCCATACCTAGGGTTGCAGGTTCCATCTTGGGGCACGTACTGGAGGCAACTGATCAATGTTTTTCAAATCGATGTTCCCATCTCTCTCTCCCAACCTCCCATTTCCTCTCTCTAAAATAAATAAACACCCCCCCCCCAGGGTCCAGCACAAATAACGCCCCTTTTTTATTATAAAATCATAAGCATGTTAATTCTATAACATAACAATATCACATTCAAGTACATCTTATGACATTTTAGATGAAATGTTCAAATTAAAACTATAAATTATTACACTCATATTATTACCCTACCAACCACACTCAAGCAGGCGTTACTTCTGTATTTATCCCCTCTTTGGCTGAAGATTGAAAAAAAAAAAAAAAAAGAACACAGTACATTCCTGAGAAACAACTTCAACGCTCATCTTTTTTTAATATCTAATAAAAGGGAAGGGATTTTTTTTTCCAATAGCAAATTATTGGAAAATATTTCTATAGGGAGCAAGGAAAGGAGCATGACCACCCTAACACTCAACTTTTCAACTCTGCACTAGGTAGAGAATCACATTTCACAAGACTGGCTCCTATAACATTCTTATGTCACAGTCATGTTCACATGTCTTAAGAGCATATATCTCATGTTCGTGTCTCAAGTTACACAAGACAAGAATGTTCATCCTAGACTGCATACAGAGTGCACACTGCCGATACGTCCTAAACAACATAAACGAGTACACCAAGGAGACCTCAAATTAACCAGATGACTCTAAGAATTCGAAGGACCAACAGCAAGCCATTTTTCCCCCACAGGGTGTTATTTTCCACCCTGCAGATAAAACGGCATGCTCCAAAGAGCACAAGTGTTCCACAAGGAGCCAGCAGGCACAAGGGTGACAGATGAAAAAGTCAGAGCGGAACAGCTGACAACCTCAAGGACCGGTCGTAGACATGACACACTGCATACTCCCTGCAGGTGAAAATAAGCCAGCCTGAGCCTCTCACACCAAGTTAACATAATAATTACTGATTTGGTCAGGATGCCTGGCTGTTTCTTGGGCTAATAAATGAGAACTTTTCAGTGACTAATGGAGCAGACCCAAAATCAATAGCAATCAGTGATTTTACTTACATGCCCCACACACCCCCTCCACCCCCCAACCCTCCCACCCCTCCAACTCCCGTTGCACAGCAGCTTCTTGCCAGCCGGCTCATGCTTTTCAACCTAACACGCTAGAGAAGTCAGCTGCAGATGTCCAAATGTCACCAAACACAGGGAGAGATGTGAAGGGTGGGCAAGCAAGCCTGTACTAACCCACTAGGTCCGCGTGGCATGGGTGCCGTGCTTTTCCGTTTCAGAGAGGCGGATTAGAATACTTCATCCAGAGACGGGCCTGCACAGAGAGAGGCCTGCTCAGGCCGAGAGAGGGGCAGAATCAAACACACTGAACTCCCACCTGAGCTGGGTATTGTGCTAGGGCGCTGGCCAAAGCAAACTAAACTAACATGGTCCCTGATTACCCTAAAGGAAGGACAGGAGAAAAAGAAAGTGTAAGTAGGTAAAATGAATGCTGAAACACAAAGCACCTGGAGAGCAGGGGCAGCGTGTGGGAAGCAAACTAGTGTTATCTTAAAAGTTCCAGATGTACACTCCACCAACACAATTCCACCCTACAGAGAAGGACAACCGAGGGAAACTTGTGCAAGGAACACCAGGAGTCCTGGACAAAAGTATTTACAGCGTGACTGTTTATGTTAACAAACAGGAAACAACCCAAATGTTCCTCAAAAGGAGAACTAAGACACATTCATATAATGAAATTCTATCCATTAGTGAAAATATTTAAACTACAGTTACCATAAAGCGGTGGTGCGCCTCACAAACCTAATGTTAAGTGAAAAAAACACTAAAATAGGTCACAGAACACATAGAGTATAATGGCATTTACATAAACTTGAAAAACATTCAAAGTTTAAAAACATTATTTAGAGATGCACATATATAATGACACTAGTTTTGAAAGACAAGGGAAATGAAAACCACACAATTCAGAATAATGTTTACCGCTGAGGGGGAGGAAGGGAACGTGGTGGGAAGGGGCACCCTGAGGGCACCGACACAAGTCGGTAACGCCTATTTCTCCAGCTGAGCCAAGGCTAGAGATGCACTTCTCATCATGTCTTAATAGTGTATCTAGGACATACACATATAGACAAAATTCTGTATGCATAACAGAATTCAAAATAAAGGGGGAGAAAAGAAAAATACAGTTGAGGGTGGAGCCCCGCAATGCTCCCTATCCCCCTACAGCCATCTGCCCAAGGCTGGGCTAACAGTAAAAAGTGAGTCCAAGACAACAGGGCAACAGAATCAACTCAGAGGCGACAAAGAGATCACCTCCAGGCACCTCTCTGGGCTTGCTGGGCAACACCTGCTCCGCAGCGTCCATTCCAGGGGAAAAGTGGAAGACAGTGCACGCTGCCCCGCAAGAGCTGTCGAACGACCGCCCTGCCAATACGGAAACAGAAAATATCCCAAACTCGGGCAAATTTTACCAATGGAAGGAAAGTCCCCAGATGATTCCGAAAGACAGGAGTGGACTGAATTTAGGAACAAGGCAGTAATTTTTTGTAGACCTACAGGGCGAGGAGAATTTGTGACCAGTTACTGGAGGGAGAAGGAGGGGATGAAAACTACACTTGAAGTCACACTAAATAGGACTTTTACAAGACCAGAGAGGCCGGGACGGAATGTGTGTAATTTTCAATTCAAATGACCATGTGCACTGACGACTAACGAGAGGCCCCTAGGGTTAATAATATACGAGCTTTCCCTGGCAGAAGAAGGTGACAGCCGACTTTGGCACATGCTGAGTATATTGGGAAATAATATTAAAAGAGATCTATACCACATCTATGTAACATATATACAGCCCACGGGCACCAGCAAGGCAGGGAAAAAAGTCTGATTTATGCGGGGAAACTGTCCGGAAGGCTGGATTCTGTCAGAGCAAGGAGAGGAAGGCCCAGGGCTTAAAAATCCCGAAGGCCCCGCTTTGGGAGGGAAGAGGGTGGTCCCGGCCCGACACAGAAGGTGGGGCTGCCAGGAGAGGGCGGGGTCTCCGCGGGAAGAGTCTTGGGAGGCCAGGCAGGGGCCAGGCTGGGCGGCTGGGCGGCGGGGCAGCCAGGAGGAGTGTAGAGAGGGGGCGTCTAGGAAGGGGGCGTCCCCTTGGGCGATGGGACAGAGTAGAGTGGGAGGTGGGGGCCTATCATAGCCCTTGCCCGAGGGCCCGGTCCCCCGCCCGACTCTCACCTGGGCACGCAGCTGGACGAGCTCCGGTCCACCTCCCAGGTGGCGTACAGGTTCATCTGCACCGGGGCGGGGGTGCGGCCTGGCCCCGGGCCGCCCGGAGGCGCGGAACCCGAGGCCACCGCTACGGCCATGGAGGTGGAGGTGGACGAAGACGAGGAGGAGGCGGCCGCCGCCGAGGTGGACGAGGACGATGAGGTGGCCTGGGCCAGCTTGGGGGGCGTTGGCTGCTGCGGCGTCGGCTGCTGCGGCGCTGGCTGCTGCTGCGGAGACTGGGCGACCCCAGAGCCCCGCTGGCCGCTGCCACCCCCGGCGCCTCCGGGACCACCGCCCACCCCTCCGCGTTCCGCCATGGCCCGGCCGCGGGTGAGGGGCGCGGGGTTATGGCAATCGAGGCAACGCCAAGCGGACGCCCAGGTTTTTCCCCCGGGCGGCAGCAGCGGCGGGGGCTCGACTCGTCTCCTCAGCCCGCCCGCCCGAGCGCGCGAGCGAGCGAGAGGCTGCACGCAGGCGCGGGGCCTCACGGCGCGCAGTCCTCGCGCTCGCCCGCCGCTGCCTGTTGCGGCTCGCGCCGCCGAGACACTGGGTGGGCGTGTCCGGGAAGGGGGCGGGGAGCCCAGCCTAGTACCGGCCCCACCCAGCGCCGAGGGGCGGGGCCGGGGCTAGTGCTCTTGGCTCAGGCGGTCTGTGGGCGCGCGCCCCTCACTCCCGAGGCTTTAAAGGGTCTCCTACTTGCGCGCGCATGGCCGAGCCCTTCCCTCAGATCCGCCGCTCGAGCGGCAGCTGGCCGGAGCAGTCCTCCCCTCCCCCGCTTCGTCCTCTCGGCCGCAGAGGCCAGGCCAGCGGAAACCCCGCTTTTCCGGGGCGCGGCCCCGGTTCGCGGTGGGGGGGGGGCTGCCGCGGGAGCGCGCCTCGGCCCCCTCGGGTCTGCAGAGCCCAAGCAAAACCCGCTGCCCATCCCAGCCCGCTTTTCCACCGCGGACCTGGCACCCAGCCGGGCAGCCTCCGGGGTTTCTTCGCCAACGCTAGCGAAGGGAGCGAACACCCGGCGGCCGGCCGTGAAGTTTCCGCTCCTGCTTCTCTCCAGTGTAGGAAGGGGGAGCTCAAGGACCTAGAGTCCAAAAGGCCCTTGGCACGAGTGAATTAAAAAACAGCCCTAGCCGTTCTGGAACCAACCCCTTTCTGTCCCTATAGCCCCACCCTCCCAAAGAACCATCTCAGAGGCCCAAGGCCCGCCACCCCTGCCTTCAATTTATTCCTCTTGGAATGTTTCTTAGAAAATACCTAAAATTCTGTTCCCCAACGCCTTGCTCAACTGGCACGTCCTCCATGGGATTTCCCACACTCCCTGCTCCAGAAACCATCTTGAAGCCTCCTGCACATGGGCACCTCTGTTGGTGCACTTCCACCAACACCGGTGCTACAGCAGCAGGAGACATCTTCCCAGTGCTCAGCAAATGCCTTTTAACCCAGCTGTCCCAATGCCTGGAGAAAGCAAGCCCCCGCGACTGAAACCACCCACGGCATCACAGACTCAGGACAATCTAGATTTTGAGCTGTCTCCCTGCCAGGTAAGAACTTGGACTCTTCTGACCACAAGGTCTATTAGGAAAGGCCTGACCTGGCCTACTTCCCAAGCCCACTTTACTTCCTCGGCCCAGCCAGGGTGCTAAGCTGCCTATTTTTAGCCCCCAAGGACAAAGTGGTAGGGTCAAACCAGACCTTCAGGTACTTCCCCCAGAGCCTTCCTACAAAGCAGGCGGTGGTACAACACAACTGCCACCCTGCTTGGGCTTCACCACCAGTCTAAACCACACCATCTGATCCAGGTGCCTGCCCTGGTCACTGGGGCAGCCCTGAAGGTGTAGAAAAAGGCTGTTTGGGTCCTTTTGCAGGAGGGGACTAAAAGGAGATGAAGGAGGGTCAGGAGTGTTATGTAGTCATCTCTTTCCTTGGGAAACAGCTTTATTTACAAAACAGGTCTAAAATAAGAACATGAAATGACAAGCCCTTGGGAATGTGGGAGAGCTGGCCTGTGGGGAACCATGTGTGAAGCCCAGGCATCCAGGCAGAGGGTCTAAAGGACGGCTGGGTGTGTGAGGGGATCTAAAATTTGAACTCCTTGTATTTCTTGCTGCCCCCACGGCTGTCCTGGGGCTGAGCTTTTCGTTTCTTTTGCTAAAGGAGAGAAAGAAAAACAAGTTACAAAAGGTTAAACAACCCGCTGATCCCCAAAACAAGGGTGGGCAGCCTAACACAGCCACCCACGTCTGTGGAGAAAGTGCTGAGACCGGATTCCCCTCCCCGTGCCTGTTTCCCTGCCCTTACGGAAGGCGGCCCACCACACCACCTCTGAGGTCTCAGCACCAAGCAAGCTCAGGGCAGCAGGCACTGAACTGTCCCTCACTCTCCCCACTAGAGGACACCATGCCACTAAAAAAGGAGTTCCTGTCCCCAGCCAGGGCTCTGCTTTGAGCTCCTACCTTCTGCTTGGCAGCATGCTCAGCCACCATGTCACTGAAGTCTTCCTTCTCCACTTGTGCCTGCTGCTCCCGTACATGCTCCTCATACTTCTGGGTCATGGCCATGGGGTCCAGCTCCAACTCTTCAGGTGCCAGAGCCACTTCCACACCTTGCAGCTCAGGGGCTGGGCCCTTCCGGCTCATAACCTAGAAAAGGGATCAGAGCCTCGTCATTTCCAGAGAGAGGCTCAGAAGCCCTAGCTTCTGCCCCCTATCCAGCCCCCAAAAGCAGTGTCCTCCAAGTGTTCACCGTGGACATGTCATAGATGTGGGTCGATCCCATTATGGCTCCCCCAACGGTGGCCGTTCTCTTCTCTGGCAACACAGTGAACAGCTGGGGCGTCTCACTTCTGCAAAGAACAAAGGGGTCAAGCACAAAATGAAAGGGAAGCAAAAGGAACACAAACAGCACCTCCACCTAGCACCCGGGCAAGATTCCGAGACACCGAGGAAACCCATGAGAGGAAAGAACTGGGTCGGTGCTGACTGCAGGGGATACAGCCTGCAAAGAGTACAGAAACCGACTTAAGGGATCCCCTGAACCAAGTTTAAGGTATCAGAGGCGAAGACTCGCACATACGAAGACGGGCTAAGGGTCAGAAGCTGGAAGTTTCCAAAAGATCTCTGGTACAGAGAAGCGAGGAGGAGAGAAGAGGCTACAGCAGTTCCTGCCCAGTGTTGTGACTGGACTTTTACATACAGAACTCAATCCTCCAGCCCACCCACTGGTGTGAGGGCCCACCACAGCCAATCTCTCCAGCTGTTTAAAGGATTCCATTCGAAACACAGGAGCAAACCTACCAATATCAACCCAGCCATGGCTTCATCCCCACCTCTCCCCCGAAGAGGCGACAACCTATTCTCACACAGCAGCCAGAGCAAACGCCTTAAAACGGAATTCAGATGCTGTCCTTCCTTTGCTTAAAACTCACTAAGGCTTTTGATCACAATTTGAATCAAGTTCATACTCTACCATGGATTAAAGGGTTCACAATCTAATTCCTGCTCACTACACTCAGCCACAGATCCCTTCCTTTTCTTTCTTGAATATGCAAAACTTGAGACTTCTTCCTGACAAGGAGCAATAGGGACTAGATATACCCTCCCACCTGCAACAACCGAAAAAAAAAAAGGGCAAAACAGATGTAAGGTCCTTAATACTATCCAGAAGTGGTATAATAGTGGTTTCCAAGTTACTGTACATGAGACAATGAAGGACAGTGATTCCTGACAGGCAGGTAACAAATGAAGTGAGTCCTTCAATTGCCCAGCCTACCGCAGGGAGAGGCTGCAGACCACAGAACGAGGAGTACCCCATGTAGAAGCTGGAGGACTCCATGAGCTGAAGGGATACAGCTCAAAGTGCAGGGACACCAAGGCAGCAGGAGATCACAGGACAGGGTGCTGGAGAAGAGAAAGCAGCCCGAGACTCGAGAACTCAAGACACCTTCAGAAGGCCCCTGATAGTACTCAGGTGAGTACTGCATGGGAGGAGACTACCCAGGCCAGGGGGCAGCCGCCTAGAAGGATCAGTGGGAACAGTACCTGCCACTTACTCGGGACTGGGAATAGTGCCTGGTCCCACTAGGCAGACTGAGGAAACCTCCTGGTTAACAGGGCACTGGGTTAGGCATACAGAGCACTGTGTGCTTCCGTAGTGGAGAGGACTGCTTCAGTCCTGCCGGAACCTGACAAGCAAGACCTGAAAGAATCAAACTGTTCCAAGTACAGTCAAACCTTGGTTCTCAAACAATTCAGTTCTCAACCAAGTTGTTCACAGAAAAACTGTCCCAGTTGTCTAATAAAACTTCCCGTCTCAATTCTCTACCCAACAACCCTTTCGTGTCGATACCTGTATGATCAGTCATGCATCTCTCAGGCAATGAACAAAGGCCTTGTGGCTTTTAAACAAATTTCTCCTCGAACAGTTTTCTGGAACAAATTAAGTTCGAGAACTGAGGTTCCACTGTACCTTAACTATATCCTTGAACAAACCTAAAGATTTACAGGAATACAAAAGTATCCTGGACCTAACAAGGTACATTTTATGAAATCTAGCATCCAATCAAAAACTAACAGGCATGCCAGGCAGCAGGAAAATCCAATCCTTAATGAGAAAAATTTAAATCAACCCAGAACTGGCACAGATGTTGGCATTAGCAGGCAAGTACATTAAAACGTTGTTATAACTGTTCTGGCTGGCGTGGCTCAGTGGATTGGGTGCCAGCCTGTGAACCAAATGGTCGCCAATTCGATTCCCAGTCAGAGCACATGCCTGGGTTGTAGGCTGGGTCCCCAGTTGTGGACACTGACCTTTCTCTCCCTCTCTTTCTCCATCCCTTTCCCTCTTTCTAAAAATAAACAAAATCTTTTAAAAAAAAAGTTACTCTAACTACATTCCATATGTTCAAAAGTTAAATGAGAGAAACAAGATATAAAAAGACCCAAATCTGCCCTGGCTAGGTGGCTCAGTTGGTTGGAGCATAGTTCCATACAACAAAATGTTGCAGGTTCGATCCCCAGTCAGGTTGCCAGTTTGGTCCCTGGTGAGGGCACGTACAGGAGGCAACCAATTAATAATGCTTGTCTCTCACATTGATGTCTGTCTGTCTGTCTCTCTCTCTCAAATTCAATAAATATATCCATAGGTAAAGACTGGAAAAAATAAAAAGACCCAAATCACACTGCTAGAGAAAAAAAACTATAACAGATGTGATTAAAGTCAGACTAGAAACTTCAGAAAAAGCCCTAGCTGGTGTGGCTCAGTGGATTGAGAGCTGGCCTGTGAACCAAAGGGTCACTGGTTCGATTCCCAGTGTAGGGCACATGCCTGGGTTGAGGGTCAGGTTCTCAGCAGGGGGCGCACAAAATGCAACCACACATTGATGTTTCCCCCTCTAAAAATAAATAAAATCTTAAAAAAAAAACTTCAGGAAAGGAACAGAAATTTTCTAAAATGAAATACAAAGAGAAAAGATATATTTTAAAAACTAAGAGAA